TAAAAAATAGAGAAAACAGACATAGCTATCATTAAATACATATGGGGTTATGGCACCCACTACATTCAAAAAGAGACACTATAAGTCAAAAAATAGAGGAGGTCTAAATTTATCCAACCCAGTTTTAAAAAAATAAAGCATTCTAATATTTTAAACCGTTTTAAAACTCTTAAATCTAAACCCAGTATGCCTTGGGAGGCACTGTATATATACTGGTATGGGCTAAATTATGAAAAATAGACTAGATATTTATAAAAATAAGAAGACTATTAGAAGTACCAAGGAAATTAAGATATGTAAAAATGCTAATGTTTAAATACAGAGAGGATAGTGAAATTTGGGAAAGTAATAAGAAAGATACATATGGGAAAATAAGAGATATAAGTACAAAGAATAACAGAAGTAAAATAGAAAATGAAATATGGTGGGGTAAACTTTGGGGTAATATGGAAAAAATGGGGAAAAATAAACTCGTCAAAATACAAAGTATAATTTTTAAATATTTGCACAATACATGACTAACCGGGGAAGTTGCCCTAAGAAGACACATGATGATAGAAATACCTAAGTGTCTCTTCTGTAAAAAAATATAACTTCACTAAAATACATATAATAACTGAATGAGAAAAATTAAAAGTAGAAAGGAATGCTATATTCACAGAAATTACAAAAAGGGAGAATTTTAGGAAAATCATGCTTTTATATTTAGACTGAAATTTTAAAAAAAAGATACTTATATGAAAATAACTGAATACATTATATCTATAATGAAAAAGTGTGGGAATGTTATAACAATTAGGAAATGAAAGATTAACCAAGCTAACAATTGTACTAATAATAGCCTAACATCTATTATTTTCTCTTTATAGACAGGAATCTGCACATGGAAGAAGTAAGAGACAAGGATATCATAAGGCTATATTAAATGACGATACGCGAAGTGGACAGGTCAGCGAAAGAGCCACCGAAAATCCCACGTGTAGTAAACAAACAAAACTTCGGTAATATTGAAATAGCCCTAGAAGTAACTTTAGGGAAAATGCAGGGTACAACCGTATTTAAGGTCTTAATCAACCTGTGCAGCTTTGTGTCGCGAGCAGAATGGTTCTAGCAATTATCATGTCACCTAATCGGGCTGCATCAGTTGTCGTCCCAGGCAAGGTATTTTACTTACCTTTATGTATTGATGTGACCTATAAAATAAGGCACACTCACAACTATCCGTCTATACGCTTCAGCTTTCCTTTTCTTCAATTCCAATTTCAGCTTTGTCTGTATTGCTTTCTTTCTTTTTAGACGCCAGAGAGTTGTAAGCTCGAATTTAGATTACTCACACGTCTCACCATCGTCCGCGTGTGTTCGTGTCTCGGTTCGATCAACGTGGGCATGCGAGAAGCTTTACAGTAGCTTCAATTGGATAGGCGGTTCTTCCCTGAGACTAACTCCACCAAATATACTGGCGGCAATATATAGCCTATCATACACTCAAAAATGTCATTAAACCACAGCAATCAATCAAGATTTAACTTTTACTAGTTTCGTTGCAAAGTTAAAAAGTGATTGGTATATATTTTGATAATTGGAGATATGTCTTCCCGATTGTTTTATTTAGATAGAGTAAACTTCTCAAAATTAAATGCTTGCATCTTCTGTTATAATTGATAAAGATCCACTACAAAAGTGTACAAAGTATAAAAAAATTAAAAAGCTACATGTTAAACATATGGCCAGTATGGGATATAAGCAATTATTTTAAATTCAATATGCGTCGACATTGATGGCATTAATTTATACTAACAATATTAAAACAAAAATCACATTGTCAAATGTCATAGTTTGTCCAAGTTTTGACCGGTATTTGGAACGTGCAAAATACATTAATTTCTAAAACGTCAGGGAAAACAACAGCGCCCCCAGAACATAACTAATACCAAATGAAAAAAATAATACAAGCACATCTTGTCTTATGAGATGTTATATTATTTCATTTTTACGTGGAGTTTTCACAGCAAATGTGGTTTATGTTTTAATGTGACAGCACTAGATTTGCTGACGTAATCGTTAACATTGTTTTATTCTACTTTACCCCTTGACTTATTCCATAGAAAACCACAAACAGCTTTCTGTAAGATTTCTTTGAAGTGATCTATTTCGTTCAAACAAGAAACAAAGCGCCATCTGAGGAGCCGTTTGACATGTGCAGACCGGAGTGCTACCTATGACAGGTAAGGGACTACTTACGCTTTAAAAATTAAAGCTGAATAAAATCGAAGCGTTGGTTTCATGGTTTCTTAGCGAACGCTTTAGTTAGGAAGCATATAACTTACAAAGTTTCTCTTTCATTATACTACCCTTTATACAATATTTTACTTTAGCAGCAGTGTAACAAACATCTTTATTAGCATCTCTTCCTCAGAAAGGTTTCATTTGCTATATTTCTATATCTTTTTATACTACCTATCTTACATATTATTTTTCAGACAACAATACACACCGTCTTTCTTGTCCACAAGGATAGGATAATTTACTTTATTATAATAATGTGACAAGGTGTGCCCATGATGATCTATAATATCAAGTTTTGATGATGTTTTTAACTCTCCCTCTCTCTCTCTCTCTCTCTCTCTCTCTCTCTCTCTCTCTCTCTATATATATATATATATATATATATATATATATATATATATATATATATATATATACATATATATATATATATATATATATATATATATATATATATATATATATATATATATATATATATATATATATATATATATTTTATATAGTATTGCTTTTTGCATGTAGTAAGTAAGATCCCATATAAGTTTTGACAGAATTTTTCAAACACGATTTTGTTAATATATTCAGCTATCAGTGTTTGAATCAAAATTTTGATTGTTTATGTTGAGTGTTTCTACAAAAACTAAGTCGTATTGATCTCAAAGGTGAAAAAATGGTATTTTCTTGCAACTATATACGTGTTTCTCCAGCACCTTGACTGCAGAAACCATCATTAAACACGTTGCTAATATTACAATAAATATGTGCCGTGTGGTATTGCGTTTCCGCATATAGTAAGCATATTGTATACTATTGTTGACAGGGTATTGGCAAAGATGAAAAACCAGGCATGCTTAACAAGTCAATTAGGAATGATTCAGGTGAATACTTAAACAGTAGATAAAATATGACAACTTATTTAATCATCATATCTTATGTCGAGTTTATAATTTAATTTTGAAATACTTCAACGTTATTTCGTTGCTGGCGCGTAAATACATTTTCAGCTATTTATTATTAAGATAAAACAAGATCGATGTATGCATATATGCACTAGATACTAAAAAGACAAAGCCATTCCCTGTTCTTCCTTATCAGTATGAAATCACATTTTTACTGTTAATGTCACATAGGATACTCCAGATATTTATTCAACAAGGTTGTGCACCACATGCCATAATAAATAATTTTATTATCGAAATGGCAGAAATAGGGTCAACCATATAATGCTAAACTGCCAGTCATTATGTAACATTTTTACACTTAAGCCACCACCAATACTACCTGGCCCGTCAAGTTTCTGAATTAACTCCTGAACATGCTGACTTTATTTGTGTACTTTTGCCAGGACACATAGTCAAAATGTTATGCTTTATTTCCATTGCACGGTGAAAGCTTTTCAGGGTAGTCAGGGTTTCCCAGTAAGGAAAAAACAGTAAAAGACCCGTGTTATAGGGGTACGGCACTGTGCTTCTGCCTCTCAAAACATAATGAAAATATATGGGCCACAATCATGACTAAACATTCGCCATTAACCTCATCTAGTATGAAGCCCAAAGACAAATAATACTCGAGAGTTTATGAAAATCTATCGGAAATTAACGTATACAAGTTTGTGAAAAGGCGTAAACCACAAATACTTAGAACTTCATTACAGACCGTCAGCCACTGTTGCACAAAATTTTACGAAAAATCGTAGGGCACTACTTATAAAATCTGTATACAAATCCATTGACCAGTATGTCAGAAAATTTTATTTTATGAAAGATCCAATGCAACCAACAACAACCATCATTATAAAAAAAATCTACTTCTTACTCTAAAAGAATGGAAGATACTTCAAGCCAACTTTAATATGTTCCAATGTTCTGATTTCAAATTTTAACCCTAATTTAATTTAATTTAATTCATTTCCGAGAGTCCCTATATTCCAAATTATTAAAGCAAAATCTAGGATAATAAAGCAGCGTTGCGGAGCAAAATGTGAACTCCATCAAAAATGAAATATAAATCATTAGTCAAGTGATTTTAGGCGTCTTATTTGCTTACAATCTGGATGGCTTGAAGGTTTAGGATACAAAGGGTGTGCTTTGCGAAAGATGGCAAATATAAAGTTAACATCATGGCGAGGTAAAAATGAACGGCAGAAATATGAAGCTTTACAAAGGAATAACATTTGTGAGCCAGCTGAAAAAGTAATTAAGCTAGAAATTATTATACACCAGAAGTACATAATTCCTCTAAATTAAATGTGCCAATGACACACCTTTCCTCTGGAGGTAAAGTCTAATTGAGAGTTACTAATCTTTCCTCCTGATTTGAAGGCGAAGTGTTAGTGATTCATCCGGAGCCGAAAGAAGGATGTGACATAAATATTAGTACTAACGAGAAAGGAAACGATAAGTTTTATAAAAGATATTATGTTTAAAGAATGTGACCGAGGTTTGTGTGTGTGTGTGTTTGTGTGTGTGTGTGTGTGTGTGTTAGATTTTTAACGTATCTTTTAAAAACTTTTCAGTCATATCGCTACAATATCTGCAGTGTAACAGTTTATAGTAAAGTCTAGCACTGGGGCATCATGCCGCATACATGTGGCATGATGTTCCACCCAGTCACATTATTCTGATACCAGGCCGACCAGTCCTAACACTAACATCTTAATGCTGAGCGCCAAGCGATGCAGCTGTTAGTACCATTTTTCAAAGTCTTTGGTATGACTCAGCGGGGTCCGAACCCACGACCTTCCAAATCCGAGGCAGACGCACTAACCACTAGACCACTGGAGCGGTCTGTGACCGAGGTATAAAAAGAGGATCAGCAGAGTAGAAAATGAAGGAATTAACTCGTACATAACATGCAGATTTGTATTGATCACAATACCAAAGGGAAAGATAGAAAGTAGATTTAGATAATCACACTTTGATACCAACATGGTGGATATGAATGTGAAAAGGCAGTGTCCTAGCAGGTTAGCAAATAACATCACAGAAGAGATGAAATAAGATAACATTCAATTATATGAAGTTGATTTTCATTAAATCAATAGTAGGTTAAAACAAGACAAATGCAATATAAGCAATCTGCAAGCTGATGTACGAGGTCTCGATGAAATTAAAGTTCGTGAAACTATCCTAGACATTAAATCATTAGCTAATAATTATTTCCTTTATACTGAAAAAATTTAATGCACCAAGGAAACTATCGTTACAAAGTATTACCCTATTATTCACCAAAGTCAAAAGGTGATGATTGATTTTTCAGCAGTCTTTCTTTGACGTCGAGCACCTGAAATTAATATTTTTCTAAACATTTAATGCAAAATTCATGAATGCATAGTACAACCAGCATTTGCAATGTTACAACTGCCACAGAGAAACACCGACAGACGAAATAGGAAAACGAAATACAAAATACTATAGACGCAAAGAATGTGTAAAATAACTTAGATGAAGCTTTTATTACAACAAAGACAATGGAAAGATTAGGACAATAATCAACATGGAACTACATGTGAATGTCGAAAACAGTAAATGGTAGTCAAAACTATATTCATAACTAATAGAAAAGTTTAAATTAAATTGAAAGTTAGCAAAAACGAAAACTCTATTGTAGATGAAAAATCTTAAGAAGGCATATTCACAGAATCAGACAACATGCTGCGTTTCTAGATTATAGAAAAACGCAAACAGCATTGTAGGTAACGTACGCTACTGTATAAGTGACCATATTATTTTATGTAACCAATGCAAATGAAATTTAGATTTACACAGCAGAAGAAAAGCATAAGATATTAAAGGACCTTGCAGGCTTTTCGGAACTAGGTACAATACATTACATATATTAATCCTTTAAAGTATACTTGCATAGAAAATGTATTTAACCAAATAATATCAGATTGAACTCATTTTTGTTTTGATTGTAAATAGTGACTGTGTCAGACTGTGGCATGCTGTTTTGTCAAAACCAACTTAGCTTAGCAGTGTGGATGACACTCTGGTTGAGATATTTATGGTTTTATTGTATAAACATTTGCAAGAATTAGTGAAATAAGTTTATGTATTTCATGTTCATTTTCAGATACGAAAACTGCTGTCTGACAAATAGAAATTACTTGTGTCCGATGATAATGTATTGAAATCTAACATCAATAGCATCTCTATGAAACGTTATAATTTGCTCTGCAACAATTTTAAAATTCAATCACAGCATTGAAGGAGATACCTCAAGGGGGAAAAAGCCAAATGGTTCATAGATAATGGACAATGGGAAATTACAACTGTACACCAACGTATTGGGAAGTGAATTCCTGCTGCTGTGTGAGCTGTTGTAAGTAAATATACGAACTTTAGCGCAGTAACTATTGGCTACTGGTGAACATTGGCAGTTGATGAAATATAATGGCTGTACCACAAGACTTTGAAGAGAAAAATGAAGACAAAGTTATGCCAAAGAGTAATACTGATGTTGATATTATATTTATTTTCATAGCTGCCAATACCACTTATTTAAAGAATACATAAAACTTTAGAAACACTAAATGAAAACAAAATATTGATCTCGGATCGGAAGAAGGTTCAAGCAAAGCGCCCAAAATTATGTCTGACCATGATATCGGCAATCATTTTCATTTCAAAAGGCCTTACAAACATGCCATACCTATACTCACTTTTGTTATACATTTGACCAAATATGAAACAAACGAACGCACTCATGCCAAAGGAAACAATATTACGTATCAACTAAAAGAGAAAACAATAATTAAGCCAGCATATTAAGTAAGCATCTCCTCAGTCTACAATACCAGATAGCATTGCTGCTGCTGGTTTTCCCTGTAAGCCACACAATTTTTCTCAGAATTTTTTATTGAGCATGATGCTGAAGTGGATGCATAGGATTAAGATGGAGTAAGGTGAATTAAGGATGAGGAGGTAGAGGTATAATCAGAACAATTGTTTACATTGCCCGTGAGGTCGCTATGACAGGAATTGTTACACAAGGTTTTTTTGAAGAACTCTTTCAATCGTTCTCACAGAGGAAATGTACAAATCATTTCTTTGATTTATTCCATATTAAGCACGTAAATATTGTCAAAGAGAGGGATATTAAAAACCAGTTTTGATATTTGTAAAGGTAATTTATAATATACTCATAATTATTATTGGTGTCTTCTTTTATGTTTCCATCAAGTCGTTTTATTTGCTGTTAGTGGCATTCGAGTTTTATTTAAATAGGTGCTATTTTCGGAAGATGCGATTTCAACAGCTTGTTTATATCCACCCAAATAGATATTTTCTCATATGGTAAATAATAAGAACACAATTTTGTCTTCTTTATATCCAGCTTCATTAGGGAGAAAATGATGAAATGTTAGTGTAAATTGCCACCTCGTACACTCACATCTGCAGTTAGTTTCCTTAATTCAACAGCAAATTTGTTCACATCAGAGAAAATGTAATGGAATACCTGCGGCATTATGTACCTTTGTACTTTGATATTTCTAGTGTAAGGTGCCCCAGGTGGCTGAGTGGTCTAACAAGTTCGCTTTTACCTATCGCTGACATCTCACCTCTGCGTGGTTTCGTGTCTATGACTCGGCCAATGTGGGCACACGAGAAAGCGTGGCATTAACATAACCGTGGGTCAATTGTTCTTACCGGAGTTTTTCTATGCACTACATATCTTTCGCTGAAAAATGATATTAAACCCAACAAAACATGTTTTGTGTGTATTTGGTCATGTGTCAGCCGCTAGTCTATGGAACGTTTCTGCAGTTACTCTATGTATTTAGGTCTATTTAATAATCTGAACATCTGTTATGGTTTAAGTTGGTACAGAGCAGAACCAAACAAAAACGTTAAGTCAGTCCTTTAGGCTTCTGTCCATAATCTATAAAATATACACAGTACGCCAAAACAATACTACAAAATACACTAGCGTAAGTGTCAATTTTGATAGCATTTCACACTTAAAGTCTTAGTTTCAAATCAAAACTTAAAGCAATTAAATAAAACATTATTGAAATAAATACTTGTAACTAGACATTTTCTGTCCAGACATCAGATAAATAAATCTACCGAAGGAATGATAATGAGATATCAAGACGTTTCGAGTTTGAATTGATATATGAAGTACACGTCCATACATAATGATAGTATCCTCGTAATATATTTTTATATTTGTCAAGTTAATTGATAATATATTTATATACTATTATTGACGTTCTCACGTCACTTTCCATCTAGTCATTTGATCATCTCTTCATGATATTTGAGTATTATTTAACACGCTTTCATTTAGACGTTGCATTTTCAACATTGATATTGTTACGACCCTGTAGTTGAATTGTCTGTTAAGGAATGAAGTCTGCATAAATCTTTTTATTTCATCTTTGTTTCATTTTTATTTCATCAAATGTAGGTTATTATTATTATTATTATTATTATTATTATTATTATTATTATTATTATTATTATTATTATTATTATTACGTTAGCATGCGTCTAATGTTTTATTAGAAACATCGTGCTTATTTAAATAGTAGTTATGACTCATGTAAGCACGAGCTTTATATGATAGTAAATTCGTTACAAGTAAACAATCACAATTAGCTATGTAAATGATTGACTGATATTCGTTCAGGCTTTCTTAATGTCCAGATGCATTGCGAAATTACACGTGTTCTCCGTGCGCGTGTACGTGAAACGACGTAATAGTTGGTTTTATATGATTAGTAACTTATTTACTTTGTTACTTGTAAGAAAGTTGAGTCAGAGTCGTAGCTGATTTCAACATCTTAGAGAGTCACATAGTTTATTTTAGATTAAAAAAAAAATAAAAAAATAAAATGGTATGTCTACGAAGAACGACGTCTGTTTTGTTAGTGGTGATAATTGTATTTCGTCTACTTTCAAAATAATTATTTTTGCTGGAGAACAACACTATTGGTTTGTGCAAAGACATTTTCTGAAATTCTTCTAAATTGGAACGGAACAATACAAAATGTGCTTGACTGTGAAAATTCTGGAATAATTGTGTTAGCGTTCGTCTGATGTCATCATCCGCCAACTTGGACCTGAACAGAACTTCAGACAGTGTCAATTTAGAACTGTTCATTGGATATCTTTTGTAAATCATAATTCTTGTTTCATATACTTACATTTTCTCCATGTTTTCTCAGGAAATTATATATATATATATATATATATATATATATATATATATATATATATATATATATATATATATATATATATATAGTTTAATGCAAACAATACTATCATAGAGGTTAGAGAAATTAAATTCTTACTGTACGGAGTTTCGAACCCAGGTCTGCGAGTAAATGGCACCCATCGCCTTGCCTGCACGCACCAACCCATATACCGTCACGACTAAGCACGCATCACAGGCAAATGATGGCACTATCTATCTATCTATCTATCTATCTATCTATCTATCTATCTATCTATCTATCTATCTATCTATCTATCTATCTATCTATCTGTCTGTCTGTCTGTCTGTCTGTCTGTCTGTCTGTCGTTGTTATCTATCTATCTATCTATCTATCTATCTATCTATCTATCTATCTATCTACCTACCTACCTACCTACCTACCTACCTACCTACCTACCTATCTAATCTTATCTATCTGTTCAAGATATATATATATATATATATATATATATATATATATATATATATATATATATATATATATATATATATATATATATATATATATATATATATATATATGTATTGCAAATAATTATAAATATATACCAGACAG